ACATTTAAAAAACATAAAATATATATAGATTAAAAATATCTACCAATATTTTGAAGGAAAAATAACCATGGGTGCGTTTGGTTCATTATTTTGGATAGGATTTTGGAGATAGTATTGGATAGTTGGATAGGGTTATGATTACGAGAATAGGATTTGCAGAACATGTGTTTGGTTGAGTATTTTGACCTTGATATTTGTGTTAAATATTTGATTAATATATTTTTTTATAAATGATTTATTAATATAATATTTTGTTGCATTTTGTTAAAATAATGTATTATTATATTGGGGACCTGAGGTGGGTTGACGGTGGTTGGGGAGCTGAGGTGGGTTCACGGTGGGGAGATGCAGTGAAGAAAATGGCTCACGGCTGTGAAGATGCAGTGTGATGCAGTGAAGAAAATGCTGAAGCAGTGAAGAAATGTGAAGAAAAGTCAAAAATGGATACTGACAAAGCTGTGAAGATGCAGTGAAGAATTAAAAAATGTGTTAGGATTCTATTTTCGGGATACAATTGTGCAAAAAATGAACCAAACGCTATCCTAATAATCCGGTCCAGAATATGAAAAGTAATACTAAACCAAACGCGCTGCATAAGTTTATATGTGAAGCAATAAAAAACTTTTAATTTTGTATTTCTTATAATTACGAATCTTTTTCCTCTATTAAAATATTACTTTGTTCTAAGAATAATTTGAATAGCATAAAAAAAAAAAAAAAAATCAGGTTTATGAGATAACAGTGGACCATAGTATGCAAGTCTTGGTCAAGTTAATTAATTTGATAAACTTTATAATGGATTATAATAACCTTCTAAATATGAGCTTATAAGTTATAATCACCTTTTGCAAATTGGCTGTAACATCCAATTAAAAGAGTTTCCCTTCAGCAATTAATGGAATTGGATAATCTCACGTTGCCTCTTCTGCATATTAAATGGAATTATGAGGATGTTTGGCGCTTTACTTTCAATAAGGAGAAGTGGCAAACACTTTTTGTTAAATGGAAAGTGTAATTAGGTTTAATTAGTATTAACTGATCTCTATTTTCATTGATGTTAGGTAAAAATGGTGTTGTAATGAAAGAGAGAGAGAAGAATAAAGATAATGGAAATGGTGGCACCCCACAAAACCTCATCTTGGTCTATTCTCTTAGGTGATGCACCCCACCATGAATGGTGATTAAACAAAAAGGACCCATCTTTTCGGAAATTATCTTCTATTTTTCATAAAGCCAGTTATAAAATCATATAAAAACACAAATCGATTCAATTATTTAGGTTCATCATTGCAATAATAGTCCAAATGAAATGTCTGATATGTGTCAGATGATTGATAAATTGTAAGGAAATTTCTTAAAAATATCATACCACATAAATATAAATGACCGAACTCAACTCATTAGAGGCCTAAGAAGGCTTGCTGGACAAGATAATTTCAAGTACATACCAAATGAACTTGTTAAAATTTTGCATTTTTTGTTGTAGCTTTGCCTAATTGGAACCCAAATATTGATGTCTATTATGCCTGGGAAACTAAAGGACTGACGTGGAAAAGTCACGTGAAGGGTGACCTGCTCCCGTCAGAGCAACACGCACACGTCAGGCCTGCCAAATGATATGGAGCTCACACGCGTCCATTTCCCTTCAATAAATCGTGCGAAGTCAGCTTGGGAAGAGAGCAATGGGACATAAAGCCAGATTATATCCTGACAATCACACCAAACCATGGATTTAATGATGATTACACGCTTCAGTTTGATATAAAATAAAGAAGACCCCTTCATTAGGGGGATTCGGCCATTTTTACATTGAGAAAAACTCTCTCTCTCTCCTGTAAACACATTTACTTTTTCCAACTCTTTTGTAAGTCAGTCTGCTGTTGCAACCTGACCCACACTACTATCAATACAAATCAGTGGACGTAAGACTTGCTACCTTAGCATCCGAACCACTTAAAAAACTCTCCTTGCATTTATTTCACTTTCATACATTCATTTATCACGTGTGTTTATCCTCCAACTAGTGTTACGCACGTGACAATTAGTTGGTGCCAAAAACGAGCATCAACAATGTCTATCCCCTGATAATTCACAGCTTGGTGCAAGAAAGACAAGGAAAGCTATTGTCCTTTTATATGATACAAAATCTATTCATTTGCCATGGCACCGTGAACTTATTTTGATGGATAAGAGGAACAAGAAACCTGAAAAACTGCAGTGGCTTGACAACAATGTAAGCACTGGATTTGAGAAGGTTTCTTCATCTAAAGAATGTTGATCTCCTCTTCTTCTCTGATTATATATGGGCTTGTAGGTGGTGATGTTAAGAAAATGTATGGGTAAAGTGTGAGTTATGTGAGTTGTAAGGTCTTGTTAAATAATATGAGCCATAGATTATAGAAGAAAATTTCAGCTTTTGGGATTTGGGTGCATAAAGTGGCAGAATGTTGAAAGAGATAAGAGAAGGGTGTACACGGGTTTTGGGTTTGGGTACAACGTGAGTGTATTGGACTTATACTACCATCCTCTATTTTAGTTATTTGACTCACATCCATGAATGTAGGCAAGGTTTTACCGAACTATGTAAATTTGATGTTGTGTGATTGTCTTTAAGCCTTTCTTATTTTTCATATCTCACCAACTCTATCGGGGTTCTAGTGCTAAACAAAGTATGCCTTCATGTAAGGTATGGCAAAGTCATTGCAATATTTATTGCAACCAATTATAATAGGTCATTAATGGTCTGTTATGTTCATAGCATTAATTATCATACATAACTAATAAAGATTGATAGGGATTGTAGTGTCACTTTCACAATTCGTTGGAGCCAAATTTTTTTGCCCAACCTAAGTGATAAATTTGTTATTACCCAGAGATCCCATAATCTTTATACGATATGAAATGGACGGTGGAGATTACACAAAAAAATGAAGGCTCTAAACGAACAAATTTGCGAGGCCACTTCTTTTTATCATACTATCAAATATACCCCCTTATTTGTGAATTAGTTTTTATAAACATACATTTAAAATGGGATAATAATTAAATTAACCAATTTTTTAACCTTAAAAGTAAAATAACTATTAATATTCTGTATTACAATTTCCAAACAATAATATTTTGTAGTAGTTTTCTACATGAATTTTTATTTAATTTATAGTATATATGATCTTCAAGTTCCATTTAATCTTTTAAGGTAAAAGTAAATTTATGTTCCAAGTTCTTTGACATTTTTATAGCTAATGTTAAGTCAAGGATATATTCGTCTTTTCACCCTTTACTTTTCCTCCTCTTTGAACAAGTCCAATAATGCAAGTACCTGCACTATATCCATTTGAAACATTAATCAATTATATATATATATATATAATATATGTATTAGATATATATATATATATATATATATATATATATATATAGATATATATATATATATCTTCTTCTTTACATTTCTTCTTGATTCTAATTCTAACCTCAAATTAATTAATCAAGTTTTCTACATCAATCAGCGTTAATTGGCCAACTATTTTTTTTCAAATTTTTATAATTTTTTTATTTTAATAATTGACCTTATTTTTATTTTTATTTTTTGTATAAATTTATTAACCCTAAAATTAATATAAACCAAACGAGGGGTGAAAAATACATTTAATAAAATTTGGTGAGAAAATGCTATTCAACCTTGTTAAAAATTATAAAGTCAACAAGACGACGGGTGGGAAATTGTTTTTCTCGGCGTTTATGGATGGAAAAATATAATTACGGCAAATCTTGGGAGGGAAATTGTCATTCACTGATATTTTGATTTTGAAAATTTATTTTTATTTTATTTGAGATGAGATTAAAATATTTATTTGGGAAACGTAAAGAAACACATAGAGGTGTATTTGGGTGCGGCTGAAATGAGGTGGAGACTTACCTTATAAGTTAGATCTAATTTTGATGTGTGAGATGCAGTGTTTTAAAACTCGGCCCGGTCAATTGAATCGGGACCCAGAAGCTTCAACGGGCCGCGTTTAACTTTTCCGATTCACCCCAAAATCCTAAGATTTGGGAGGATGATCGACAAACAATCGACGGTTGGAAGGTTGGGGCTTTTGAAGAGTAAGTGCCGCTGAATGCAATGGTGGTGACGGCGTTGATTTCCGGTGAGTAAATCGACCGAAAATCGAACAAATCTAGCTACGGCAACAATGGGATTTTGCCGGCGATTGGCCAGGCTAATGGGGGTGGGGTGAGTAGGTTTTGGTCGGGAGGAAGAGGGGAGTAATTACGGGTGATGGGGAGGGTTTTCGACGCCGACGTCGATGAGATCTAGCCTGGAATGCCGACGCCGGCGTCGGTGAGATCTGGCCGAAATTGAACCTATTTCGGCCAGATCTTAAGTAGATTTTAATGGAAATGGCTTAAGGGATGATTGGGGTTGCATCTGAGGTGTTGCCGCCGCCAATCAGTCGCCGGTCGATTTGCATTTGGGGTGTGTTTGATAAAATTCAAACCTATAGGGACTTATAAGATTTTCAAGGGTGTATTTGCTGAATTTTAAAGTTTTTGTTAACCGATCCACCCGGGACCCGAAAACTTTGCCGGGTTTCACCTCGGGTTGGGTTTTAAAACATTGGTGAGATGTGACCCTTCATCTTTTTCATTTTAGTTACGAGCACCTCAACTAATGCTCGGAAGAGACTAGCGAACAACCCACTAACAAGACCTTCTACTTAAATGCGGATGCTTGATGTAGAATCTAACTTGAGACCATACGTCTATCCACACAATCCCAATTAGTCCTAACCATTTGGGCTACCAACGGATAGATTAAATTAACATTCATGCTATATTATTTAGAAACAAAATCATGTGATATATTTTATATTTCGTTTTATTTATTTATTTTAATTGATGGTTTCTCAATTCGGACTTTATAATCTAAACACTATAAAACTACCTGCCAATTTGGATTAAGTTATCATAATTTTAAATTCACCGCAAATTTCAAATAATTTATCCTTAAGTGCCCATAAGTTCCATTATAGGAAACGAAGACTGCAACATTGTGAAGCCACAAATATATAAGAAGATACAAAAGCAATAATCAAAGCTTTGAAAGGACATTTAACATGCACTCGCGAGCTTTGCACATAGCCTCTAATGGCTCGACTTTAGGCATTGTAAGACCAGTTCCCTCTGTCAAGTCCACTTCCTCTTCACTAATTCTCTCCCACTCAAAGCACTGAATTAAAATGGCTAATGCTAATCCCATTACTCTATTGGCAAGGCCAACTCTAGGGCAGGATCTTCTTCCTCGACCAAATGGTATGAAGTTATATGCCTCAACTTCGCCTTCCAATCCTTCAAACCTCTCTGGTCTGAAACTTTCAGGGTCCTCCCACACCTTGGGATCTCTATGAATGCCCCATGCATTAACAATCAACATTGTTGATGGTGGGACATCGTACCCTCCAATTGTACAGTAATCGGATGATTCATGTGGCACTAGAAGTGGTGCTGCTGGAAACAGCCGAAGAGTTTCATTGATTATGCACTGGAGGTAAGGCAACTTGACCAAATCAGGTTCTTCTGCTAAACGGCCATGACCAACATGATGGTCAAGCTCAACTCTGGCTCTCTTTAGCACAAGAGGATGGTTGAGGAGAAGTGACATAGCCCATTCTGCAGTCACCGAGGTTGTGTCTGTTCCCGCAACTAGTACTGTCTGTTAGAAGTCAAAGTGATTATTAGGACTACAAATATGTTTTGAGGATTGTAATCTAACAAGATCAGAACAATAGAAACTTTTTATAGGTGCAGTGCCATGTAAAGGTTCCATTTTCTTTGTGTCATGCTTGAGGAAGACACCAAATTACTTATCCAAGTCTGTCTAATTGTTTAAGTAGAAACAAAGAAGTTAAGACATACCATTATCATGCCTTTGATAATTTCATCAGTGTAGTATTCAGGTTCAGAGTCTTGTAAAGACAGCATAGAATCGATTATCGTCTTAATTGTTGCTCCTTCACCTGAAGAATTCCTTGTGTTTCGATGCTCATCAATCAAACTCTGCATGAACCTATCAGAATTTGTATGTAGTCTTATTATTCCCTTTTTGTAGCTCTTGTAATCCACCCATCGTAAAAAAGGTAAGAAATCTTCTGGATTTGATGCTCCACTGGCATCAAAAATGTCCCTTACAATTTTTAGAACGCGTTTAGACTCCTCTGGATCATCAACTTCTTCCCCAAAATATCTTTTCCCAGAAACCATCCTCATAATGATGTTAAAAGACAGTTCTGATAACTTTGACTTCATCTCCACTTTGGTGAAACTTTGGCATGAACTGTGATAAAGATTTTTAAGTAAGAATCTAACCTCATCCTTTCTAATTCCCAAAAACATGTTAAGCCGATTCGTTGAGAAGATATCAAGTGCAGCAAGTCGACGTAGATTGCACCAAAGAGGACCATAAGAGGCAGCGCCCATTGCCGTGTAGTCATAGCTAAAGTACTTGCCAGAAATAAGATGAGGCCTATTGGCAAAGAGAATATCATTTTTAGAAAAGCATTCTTCGGCGGCAGAAGGAGAGGAAATGAGAAGCACACAACGGTTTCCAAAGGAAAGACTTACGATTGGACCATAGTTGTTTGATAGCAACTGTAATGATCTATGGATGGGTTCTTTCACTAGATGGAGATGGCCAATTATGGGAAGTGATGTTGGGGTTGGAGGTCGATTCTTATATCGTGTTTGTTTCAATAGAAAATTCTTCAGAATAAGAAAACAAAGCAAGCATGATGCCGGAACGATGAATAACCATGTTTCTTCCATGAGCTTGAATTTGCAACTCCTACAACTATAAAGGAATAATGGCGGAGAACATGCATGCCCTTCACATTGTTACAGTATTATTTGACTTTTGGGCTTCTGTGTCGGTCATCTTTTTGACAAAATGGACTCTAGGCGCAAAAAATTGTCGTTTTCTAGAGAGACGGATGAATTTGCCTTGCTTCCCAAGACGGCCATTAATGTCCATTGGCTGCTTGTCATTGTCTTGTTTGATCGCTCATCAAATGGAAGATTTAGTCACCACTCACCAATCACCAAGTTGAAGAATAGTTTATGTATGGAGCCCGGTTTTTTATTTTATTTATTTTTATAAATTATTGCAATACCATCCAATAATATCTTTCTCTTTTTTGTGGACTTGTGGGAGAATAATTTCTTTTTACCATATATTTTTACAATTAATATGATTAGTAGTTATTAAATTAAATATTTTATAGTTTTTTTTTTAAATTATTATCTTTAATTTTGCTATGCACCTCATTAAAAAAATTATTAAGTGAAATAGTAAAGTGTAATTTTGTATATGTTCAAGTGACTAGACAATGTCAGTTAACAGATGTCACCGAGACACCAACTGATCTTAACAATGGGTGAAAAATTGTTTTTCTCAAAGTTTTCGGGTGGGAAAAATAATTGCGCCATATCTCGAGTGGGAAATTGTCATTTACTTTACTATTTTCTTGTATAAACGCCAAGGATAAAGATGTGTTCACAACCCAATCTTATAAATTTTCTCTCACAACTCTCGACGTGGTAACTCGTAATTGGTCAACTCGCAATTTGATAGACGGGATCATAATGAGCAAGCATGATCTATTTACGAAGTGACCAATTATGAGCTGCCACGTTGGAGTTATGAAAGAAAGTTTGTGAGATTTGGTTATAAGTGTAGTATTATCCAAACGCCGATGTTAATTGGTTGTCCTATTCTTCTCTTATAGAGTGAAAATTTGGATATCTCCCTTGCAAGCTTGTCAGTTAGTATGCTCTACTTGATGATTTGCTCAAGCCTATGGTCAGATGGTGTGTAAAATTATTCTTTCTGCCATTATGCAGACTTGTTTTTACAGCTTTATCATCTTCTTTATAAAAATGGAACGGTCTATTAAATTTGCCATTGTTTTCATTAGTATAAAAACCAAAGACATTTATGCGAAACTGTGATTACAAGAGAGCTCTTAACACTGAAGGTTGTCCATGTATGCAGGTGTGAACTGTGACGCCCTCCCAACAACGGCCTTGTTTCTATGTGGCTTTAGGCTATTGACTCTGCTTCTTCAATCTGATGCAAGTCAAACCTAGCAAGAGCTTCTTCATTTCTTTTCACTATCACTAACGAGTAATGACAATGAGCCTGAGGGGTTTAGGCTCACGTTGTGTGGGCCTTATTTTTGTTATGGGCTTTGATGGTAAAGGGTTGTATATCCTTATGTCTCTCAGCTTTTTCACGAGTGTTTGGGCTTGTCCAAGTTGCTCATATATATTGAAGGCGAGTCCTTTGTTATAGGCTGTATTTGTTTCATTCTTTCTATATAATTACTGTTTTACTTAATTTTTTAATTTATTGAATTAAATATGAAAATCATATGTGATATTTTTCATATTTCAATTATTCTCATGATAAGAAATAATTTATGTAACAGTGGGAATGTACTATAAATCATCTTAACTGATTTTTATAATGTTTGAAACATACACGTGGAATTTATCTATATTTTATTCCCATGATTTATAAAAACAACCATTTATTCAATATGGATGCCACGACTGTAATCAAGTTAAATCTCAATTCATAGGATTACAAACTAGAGCAAAAATATTTAATTCAATTAATACAAGTTTTTCGGTCTATAAAAAATTTCCTTACTCTTCAAAAAATGAGATCACCATTAATTTTTGTTCTTGCAAAACAATAGCCTCTTTTAAATTTGAGGTAAGTATTGTGTTGTATAAAGTTTTCGTCACAGGTCCAATCCAATGCAACAAACAAATACAATTCAATCCATTGACATAAGAGGTCCGTATCCATAAGTCTAAGTTAAAAGTAACAATCCAATGCAATTAACAAAACATGTCTAATTCTATCCGTCCAAGTTCAAATCATTCAAAGCATAAGGAGAGAACTTTAAGAGCAAAAACTGAAAACTTGAACCTCCGAACGAGAGATTTTGAAAACAAGAGAATATGAAAGATAAGAGACAAATGAGACGGAATCAGTATTTATGTTAATAAATCAATACATTAATGTACTTTAAATTATTGAAATTATATATTTATATTGAGAAACGTCCTTGAAAAAAATCCTCTAGCTCAAGTATCAAGCTTATAACAAGAGATCCCGTGAGAGGTAGGTATCGCTTTGGAATGATGATTGGCCACGGGTTAGTGAGGAGATTAGGAAATATGACAAGCTCATCATATGACAACATATTGAATAATTTAATTTTCATAACAACATAATGTAACATGAAATATGCACAAACTGTGCATGACATAATTTAATGTTTGCAACTTTTCGTTAATATTAGATAAGTGACAAAAATGACACATTTGATGTAATTTAATGTTTGTGACAATTGATAGCTTAAAGAGAGAACCTTGAGAGCAAGAACTTAAAATTTGAACCTCCAACGAGAGCTTTAAAGCAAGAGCTAAAATCTTGAACCTCCGAACGAGGAATATAAAAAATGAGAAGAGCCTGAAAAAGAGAATGATAGATAAGAAACAAATGAGACAAAACTAGAATTTAGGTTATTTATTAATGTATTTTAAATTATTGAAATTATATGTTTATATTGTGAAACGCTCTTGAAAAGATCCTTTATCTCAAGCAGCAAACTCATAACAAGAGATCCTATGAGAGGTAGGTATAACTTGGAAATGACGATAAATGACAGGTTTGTGAGGTAGGTATAGCTTGGAAGTTACGATTGGCCATAAGTTACCGAGGAGATTAGGACAAACATTAGCTGCACTAAGATGGTTGATAGAACTTGAACAGTTGGCTATATTCAACTGACATAAACACTATTTGAGGTGACAGCATTAGTTTCTTAAAATCAAGAGGAGAAATGTTTTCGTGCCAAACCTCATAAAGTCATTCATAAACCATGTACAAGCAATAGTGATCTTCAAGCAGGGCTTCATTGATGGATAAAGAGGCCCGCATGGAGTATTATATTTAGGCTGGGGGATTTGGGCTTGGTTTTGTTCGGGCCTATCTGGTGATTGCTTGTGTTTTTAGGCTCACGTTGTGTGGGCCTTGTTGCTTGGTTAGTTTTTTTTAATGAAGCTATTGACACTACTATGGATTAAAGAAATTGTATTTCTTACGAGTTGACTAATTACGAACTGTCATATCGGGGTTGTGAGAAGAGATTATGACTGTAACATTTTCTTTTCTTAAAATATCTCAACCAAAGTTTTAAATTTAATATTTTTATGGCACCCCATAAATTTCATAACTGTCCTTAAAATTATACTTTTTATATTTGAAAAAGTCAATATTTCATTCCCTTCAATTATTCTATAAACTCCACTACATCATTCCTAAAATAAAATGTTTAAATAATTAAATTGGAAATTAAAAAAAAAAAAATTCAATGCAAAAAAAATTCTTACAAATAATCTCAATAACATAAAACAGTTAAACAACATAAAATATACAGTAAACGTTTCTATAGTCATAATGTTGGGATCAACTAAATTTATTACTATAAGTAGGTTATAACTTAATAGATAGTTAGTTACAAGAATTATTGTTTATTTTAAAAAATAATTGTTTTGATTTCTTGTTTTGTAATTCATGTTTTAGTAATACAAATGAATTGAGTAATCAGATTCGACAATTTCACTACACTAATCAAATGGATATTAATGTCTTCCCTAATTATCTAAATGAGCAATAAGTTGAGTATGTTTTAACTAAAGAAGAAATCATTACTAGAATTAGACAAGAAGGGGAATGAGATAATCCTAGGGATGATGGTATGAAAATATCAAAAGTTTTGTGCCAAGAAGCTTTAAACATGCTTGAAAAGCTAGAAATATTTTGTCTTTAGCAAGAAGATGTTCGTGTTGTGATTTACTACGTATTCGTAAGATAAAAGATATGATAACAACTCTAAAGTATAAATTATTATCCTAAACAACTTTAGATAAATATATTATTTTATCTTAAACCGTTAATGTAACATAACATATATTTTTTACAATATATATATAATTATTACTATTTAGAGGTGAGTTCTTTAAGATAAACCCTAGAAAAATTATAACTTATTATAATATGAAATTTATTCTTATTTATAATTGGTCCAAGTGGAGACCATAATTTTTTTATAAATATACGAGGTTATTTTTATATAGAGTATCACTATAGAGAGGTTCTAATGTATATAGATTAAAAATAGTTATAAATACTTTGAAAAAAAAATAACAATGAACTGATATGTGAAACAATTAAAAACTTTTAATTTTGTATTTCCTGTAATTATGAATTTTCTTCCTCTATTAAGCTATTATTTTGCTCTAAGAGTGATTTTAAATAGCATAAAAAAAATAAGGTTTCTGCGATAATATGCAAGTCTTGGTCAAGTTAGTTAATTTCATATACTTAATAATGTATTATAATTTTATAATCGCCTTCTAAATATGAGCTTCTAATCACCCTTTGCGAATCGACTATAACTTCATATTTTTGTTTAAACCTGAGCCAATTATTTTTTGGCCGAACACAAATAACGAAAATTATATTATAACTATTTATATACAATATTCGATAAGCATCACTAATAAAGGAATACATAGAAAAAAAATTCCACCATAAATATAAATGACTGTATTCAACTCTATAGAGGTGAAAGCAATTACTAATTTGGGTAAAATTATTGATAAAGTGTTATAAAATTTCTTAGAAAGATATCATGTTAATCAGTTACATAATTGAACAATTCCAATTGGTAATAAATTAATTTGATAATGTCAAGAATTGATTGATAAATATCAAATCATACTAAAGTGATAAATAGCAAGTCTTGGTCCAATTAATATGAGAATTCAGCAACTTCTCAACAAATTAACTTTGCCGAAATTACAGATAAGTTGCAAGGAAATTTCTTAACAATCTTGGTCAAGTGGTTCCCACATTGTAATTGTAAAGTATTGTAGCCACAAAGGCCTGTAACTTTCTTGTATCTTAAGAGTCCATTTTCAGCATCTGTTTCTATTTGCTTTGCTCTCAAACTCAAATCTTTCAGATCTTTTCTTTTGATAACCAAAACTATGGCTAACTTTTTGCTCTCTCAATTGTTTGAAAGACAGACGTATTATTATATGCACTCTTGAGCTTATTTATAAAGGGAGAAAGGAAAAAGTTATCTAGAGATGGAGGAGGAGGTTACCTTGGTTTTATATTACATCACAAAATTATAAGTCTTTTGGTAGCTTCAAGGATTTTGTAGGATCTGTTTATGCTCTTTGTAACTGTGTTGTTACTGCAATCAATTATGCATAAGCTGAGTCTATTAATATATCTTTCTGGCCTGTTATATTTGCCTTTGATTTACTTTGTTCTAAAATAATGGACAAGCCCGAGAGACAGAGCATTGTGTAATGTGATAGATGCTTCAATGAATTTGTGTAGATTACAATTTACAAATATGAGATTCTATCTTGGATTATTAGGCATTCTACTAATCATTAATACATCCCCAATCATTTTCTCCAAGATATTCCCTTCATATATTTTAAATCTCTACTCTTTCTTGTTTTTTCTTAGTTTTTTTTTCCTCACTTTCTTATTAACCAAGCACTCTGCAAATTAGGAATTAACTAGAGAAATCAACAAAGATTTCCATGAATCTTCATGCCTCAAACCTATGTTGATTATATATGGCTCAAACACATTGAACATTGGAAAATATGTTGTTTACTTATATCCCATATTGCTTAGCAAACTAAGAAGTGAAGTCTTGGCATAGATCATTCTCAACCCCCTTCGTGTACTCCCTTAGCGTTGTACTGTTAGATAATATGTTTTCAACTACCTATATGAACACATAGACACATATATTAAGGTATAAAATATGAAGTTAAGCAAAGTAATTATGGAAACAAATATAAAATCCTAAGGACAGGATAGTGCAAACTTCATGTGGCAAGTACCAGAAGATCATATAGTATGCAGACTTCGGACCAAACTACCAGATAAACGAAAATGTAATCCAAACAATTTATTCCTTTTTATTGATAAGTACTCTCAAATTGCTTAAAAGAATTAACTAGATAGTGCAATCTGTCGCTTCCTGTGTTACTCATTTAACAATTTAATTTTATACTAACATTTGAATCACTTTGCTCTTCAAATACTCAGACACTACAGGCAAAATTTCACCTCTGAGGAGCAAGACAACCTTGATTTAACAAACATCAGATATTATCTCTATCATACATCAAGATGTCAGAATTTTCAACACAATAATCATCATGACAAATCCATGAAGCAGTATGAACTCATAGAACTAACCTATGTAGCCTATTTTACAAACTCACACCATGTCAACTCAAGGAGTCACACAGATTAAAGAACAAGAACACCACACTACTTTCACTTGTTGTTATCCTCAACCAGCAATCCTATCTCAAACAGTAAGTTACTAGTTCCCCATGTAACAACTACGCATGCAAAAACCACAAAAACGAGACTATAGCTTCATAAAAAAACAACACAAAAGTTACTCACATCATAGTTTTTACATTCTTCAAGCCTTTCTCAAGTCCTTCCAACGATGTATCATCACTGCCAGAAACAGCGACAGCAGTCAATATCTTCTCAATAAAATATCTAGTAGTCTAAACAAAAATACTGGATAGTTTACAACTCTTCCCTTACAGTTAAAAGCACTCTCCATGACCTATCCCACAAACTTTTCCTAAGAATCTTCTAAGCAATAATCTCTAAAAAGGAAAGAAAATTTATTTCTTTTCCAGGTTTACGAATTAAATTCAATTAGCATCATTACATGATTGAAAGAGAGTGACACTTTGGTCACCGGCAAAGGCTTCCAAAGGTGACCCTCTCAAGTTTCCGGCTATTTCCAAGATTTCAGCACCTCAATCAACTCACCCGGAGAACTTACAATCACCCACCATTTATTTCCTTATTTTAAGCTAGTTTACTAACTAATTGTTACTCAAACATTCAAGAAACTTGAGAATAGTCAAATTCTCTAAAACACAGATCAAATCTTAAACAAATCAACGAACAAAATTCTACATACATTACACAAAAAGTTTCTTCATTTCTTAACTTACCCACTTGCATATTCCTCAAAAGTCAAGTCCCCCACAAATGCGCCTAAATCAAACACATTTCTCTGGGCATCATTTGCATCACCAAAAGAACCACCCTACATAAAATAAAATTTTCATATTTAAAATCCCAGCAAAAGCAAACTATCCCAATTCTCATTAAGGCCAAAGCAATTAACACTTCACAAATAAAAATTACCACTTGGTTTGCCACAACATCCGCCATCTTCAAACGCGCACAACAACAAATTTACCTGCACAAACTTTAATTTTTTTTCCAAAAAAAACTTCAAAATTAAGTGCAAAAATCGTATAATAAGGGTATTCGTTTAATTGCTTGTTTACCTGGAGTCGGAATGGATTCGCATTCAACATTTGAACGAAATTGAATTTGAATTTTCAATCTTCAGATTCAGATCAAAAGAGAGGTTTAGATCTTCAGTTACTGAGGAGGTGAAGAGAAAAATTAGACAGTGAGTGGACTAATTCGATTTAAACTCCAGTTAATTCAAATTAACTCCAGCTACGTTGGGTAACAGTTCATAAACCCTTTTTTTTTTTTTAAAGTCAATATTGTATTATTAGAAATATTATATTAATGAAACAAATATTATATTAAATATGTTTGGTTAGATTGAAATAAATTAATAAATATACTATGGAGAAACCTTACTCTGAGTTGTCCACATTTTTAATATTCTTTTTCTTGGATAATCATCTATTAAAATAACAAAGTATTACATTCCTTTAATACGTCTAAATTCTCATAGGTCCATATAAATCATATCATTCCTCTCTAAATTATGTAAAATTATCTTGAAAATTTTATTAGAATTGAGACCAAGAGCTTACGATTTTATATGTGCTTATGTTGGAAACTATTTGGTTTCCTTCATAGAGAATTAGATTGGAAAATAGGACTTTTTTACTTGCCACACCATTACCCACCAGATAATGCCCCATGGTAGATTGGAAAATAGGACTTTTTTACTTGCCACACCATTACCCACCAGATAATGCCCCATGGTTTAGGTCAACGGGCCTTCGGAAAAGGATTTAAGAAAAACTAACCTTTGAATCGAGCCTAATTGGCTTTACTAAAGCGTCGAACAGCTTTCAAACTCCTTTTTGTTGAGTTGTTTCTTCGATTAGACATAATCACCCTAAAGTGGGTAGAATAGTGATTTGGGGTGCATGGTCACCTCAAAGTTGTAATCGGATGTATTTAACTAATAATAATTTTAACAATTTGCCAATCAGGAACGTTGTAGACAAACTATTGAATTAATGGGGCAGAAGAAAGCTTTAGGCTATAACAAATGATAATGGAACAAAAACTTAAGATGCATCGTATTATTCATTATATAATTGATTTTTAATTTGTGCTATCATTGTTTTTCTCTCCAAAAGACCAAAATATATACCTTGATTCGTGTTAATACCACGTTAATTGATAAAGATAGTTTACATTAATATATATATATAGAAATTTAGAAATTTAATCTTGAATGAAATCATTATAGATCCCACATTTTTATTTTTCAATTTTGACAAATTTAATCTTGGATAAAATTATTATAAAGGACACTATATGTTTTGACGAGTTTTAATTCCTATTCATTTTTTTGAATTTTGATTATACCTCAAACAATTCATCTGTAATAAGTTCCATTTTATGAGCAAATGGTATTTTTGCACAATTTCAAGGTATGTATCTGTGTGTGGATAGGGTTGCAAACAAACCGATCTGTTTGCAAGCATTTTGATGTCATATATATATTACAAACTTATAAAAGACCCCCGTTCTATTATATAATACATAATATAATAGAATATAAAATTATATTGAAAATTATAATATGTATTGATCATATATTACAATAGACCATCATTCCACTATGAATTTATGGGTATTGATACAAAATATATTTGTAGATATTTAAAATATGTATGATAATTTATGTAATAATAATATATACATGATAATCTATTATTTTAATAATTTAATAACATATAAAACACATTTAATCTATGATTAATATATGTATGATAATAATTTTGTATATACATAATTACACATTATATATAAAATAAAAACACAATAAACTAACCAGCTAACCCGACCCAACCCACATTTTTAAACAAAAATCCAAAACCCTATTCTAATTTCCCTTCAAAGATATTCGAGTTATTCGAATGCTTAATTGAACACTTAATCAAATGATTTCGAACAACTCATTTTGTTAATCGAATGACTTCAAACGGCGATTCTATGTTCATTCAAGTTTGAACAGGATTTCAAACAACCCATTATGCTTATCGAACGATTTTCGAACAGGGGTGTTTGTTTGTGTTCAGTTCGTTTGCAACCTTATGAGTGGACATCCTAGCCCTAAAGGTGTTATCGAGCCAAGCCAAGCTTTTGGACAATCGAGCTCAACTCAGCATGTACAGGAGGAGCTCGAGCTCGATAGGAAAAATAGAGCTCAAGTGACNTATATAGAGAAATTTAATCTTGAATGAAATCATTATAGATCCCACATTTTTATTTTTCAATTTTGACAAATTTAATCTTGAATGAAATTATTATAAAGGACAATATATGTTTTGACAAGTTTTAATTCCTATTCATTTTTTTGAATTTTGATTATACCTCAAACAATTATCTGTAATAAGTTCCATTTTATGGGCAAAGGGTATTTTTGCATCAGTTTCAAGGTCTGTATCTATGTGTGAATAGGGCTGCAAACGAATCGATCTGTTTGCGAACATTTCGATGTTATATATATATTACAAATTTATAATAGACCCCATTCTATTACATAATATATAATATAATAGAATATAAAATTATACTGCAAAATTGTAATATGTATTGATCATATATTACAATAGACCCTCATTCCACTATGAATTTATGGGTATTGATACAAAATATATATGCAGACATTTAAAAAATATATGATAATCTATTATTTTGATAATTTAATAACATATTAAACACATTTAATCTATGATTAATATATGTATGATAATAGTTTTGTATATACACATTTACACATTTTATATATATAAAATAAAAACACAATAAACTAACCAACTAACCCGACCCAACCCACATTTTAAAACAAAGATCCAAAACCCTATTCTAATTTCCCTTAAAAGTTATTCGAGTTATTCGAACGCTTAATAGAACGATTTCAAACAGCTCGTTTTGTTAATCGAATGATTTCAAACAACAATTTTGTGTTTGTTCGAGTTTGAACACGATTTCGCTCAACCCATTATGCTTATCGAACGATTTTCGAACAGGGGTGTTTGTTCGTGTTCAGTTCATTGGCAACCCTATGAGTGGACATCCTAGCCCTAATGGTGTTATCGAGCCAAGCCAAGCTTTTGGAAAATCGAGCTCAGCTCAGCATGTATAGGAGGAGATCGAGCTCAGTAGGAAAAATAGAGCTCAAGCGACTCGATTACCTGTGCACATGTGTAATCGAGCTGAGCTCAACCTTCAGCTTAATCGCAACCATAGATTCCAAGAGGTTCTCTAAGATAGAAGGGGGAGAGAGCCCTAATCCAGCCATCGTCACCAATGGTACTTATTTGAATTTCAATGGCCACTTCCCTTCAACTTCTCCCTCTCTTCTCTCATTCCTTCTCCATGATCAAGACTTAATCCAACCTGCGGGCTTGCATGAATCACCTCCTCTGCAGCTTATTTATGTCACAATAAGAAATGGATCATTGAACATTTACTACAATGCAATTTTCTAATCTAAGAGAGAAAAGGGAGAGAAAGAGAAAGAGGAGAAAAAGAGAGAAGGAGAAAAAAAAAAAAAAAAGGAGAAGAAAAGAGAAAGAGAAGTGACTGAGTTGACAAATGAAGAAGAAGCTAGGGTTTCTAGAATTAAAATAATTTATATGTAAAATGGAAAATAACATGAACCCCTTCATACTTACAAAACATGCATATATGCCCATTCGAGCTCGTGGAGGCTTGTGAGTCACTTAAGCCTAGTACTGGGTGGCTTAGGCTTGACCTAAAATGGCACCTGAGCTACTCAAGAATGGCTTGGCATGACTAAAACCCCCACTAGCAATAATCCCACTGGGACATAAATTAGGGTATAAAGATGAAAGCAATTCGTAACTTTATCCATAGTAGAATTGTAATGTAAAGATTTTGAATTAGTTATATTGAAATCTGATATGGGAATTGATTGTTATTAAACATTTTATCGTGGTAACTCTACACCAAAACCCTATTTTAGAAAGAAAAAAAATGTTCATGCTTATCCTTTTATGAAATTCTTGGTTTAGTTTAATTCTGTCTATTGTGCCTGACAAAGTAGGGCTGATGCAAAGTCTTATCAGCATGGGGTAGTCATAAGTTAGGAAGGTACCACGACTATTTAGATACAGCCACGTCGCATGATGACGTGAATGGCATGCCCCTGTCAGTGTAGTGGGTGAATGCCAGGTTATCGGATGGTTGGAAATTATCCACATGTCCAATCCCTACAGAAGTCGAGGAAATCACTCGAGCATGTGAGCAATGGGACGCAGAGAAGGATTTGCACAGTACTTACCCATTTGCAGATTTAATAATCATTACCTTGATTCATCACACTATAAATAGAGGACTCCTCTCACAATTGCAGGATTGGCTAATTTTACTCTAGAATAGCATACACACACTCTCTCTCTCTTGTATTCTCTAAGCTATAACTCAGCTCGCTGAACGTGATCTAACCTCACTCTAATTAATACAATATCAGTGGACATAGGATTCGCTTTTGAGCGTAAGAACCGCTTTAAACATTGCCTTTCACCCGTTTATTTAACTAAATATTCTCATATCGCGTGTGACTTCTAAGCCTGCCTAGCATTTCTCACATGTGAATAGTTTGTGTCAAAATCAAGCATTAATAGTTTGACGCTACAAGGAGGGCCTGATTTAGTACCTGCTCTTCATCAAGAAAATCTCTAACTAATCGATCCCACAACAGCAAATAGCTTGCGGCTTCAAATATGAGGTAACCAATTATGGCAATGAAGAGATCCCCCAGGTACAGAGGACACTTTTCCCGAAATGCTGCCAGCCCAGCAAAATATCATTGGGGATATCTCTTCAAGCTCACAGCTTGATCCGGTCATCATGAGTTATCTAAAGAGGTTCAATAACACTCTTTAGACGGTCTAGCCTTTGGATTGGGCCGTGCCACCCAAATCCAATGAGGCGGAGCTACCGCAAAAAACGTTTGCAGGTTGCGTGAAAGCGTGGAAAAGGGCAAAAGCCCATACTGCGTGCACTGTAGCGTGTTAGAAAAAGGGAAAACAAGTAGCACATAGCGGACCCAAAGGTCCGAGGGACTAGCAAACACTAATCGTGCCTCGGGTAGAATACCTGTGGCATTGCGACTCAGTGACATGCCGCGACACGAGCCGTCCCATCCCATCCCATGCCACGTCCCCGTCCCACTCCCACTCCCACTCC